CTGGTGGCTGACACTGAAGATCAGAGACAATGGATCTTACAACCAGGGAACATCTAAACTCAGGATCATTCTGTTGTCCTGTGAACTTTGGTAATAAGTTTTGAATTGGCATACCGTTGATATTTGGATGACTTTGAAAGTTTAGAGTCAAAGAAAATGAAGAGTCGTCAGACTGGGGATAAAAACTGGGATATTTAGACTTTACATATAAGTCTATGGTCATAAAAATGTTTTCTAAAAGTCTGGGTCCTTTCTAGCTTGTCATTGTCTAAATCAGAAACTTCTCTAGCTATCAGTGCTTGCCATTTTGACTTAAAATGGCTTCTTTGATAATAACACAGTATCCAGGAAGAAGTAAACTTATAGACCATTTTTATAATTTGAGATGATCAAGAATCGTGTGTGTGTGCGTGTTCATGTACCTATGCCTCTGTGTGTGTGTGTGTGTGTGTGTATGTGTGTGTGTGTGCCAGTCCTAGGGCTTGAATTCAAGCAGGGCCTGGGTACTGTCCCTGAGTTTCTTTTACTCAAGCTAGTGCTCTACCATTTGAGCCAGAGCAACACTTTTGGCTTTTTTGAGGGATAGTTTATTGGAGATAGAATCTCCCAGACTTTCCTGCCTGGGCTAGCTTTGAACTGTGATCCTCAGAACTCAGCCTCCTGAGTAGCTAAGACTGTAGGTGTGAGATACTAGCATCTGGCTAAAAGAGCCATATAATTATATTTTTGCTTCTCATTTGCTATTTTCCCCCTCTTTTTCTAGTTTGAGTGACCAATTATTTTTTCGTTAGGTAAGAAAAATGTTGTAAGAAAGATAAAAGGTGGGTGAAAAATATTCTAGGGAAAAGCAAATGTTATTGAAGGAACGAAAAATAAAGAAATTTGGAAAATAATAGAAGATGCACTTGTCTTCAGTCAAGAAGTATAAGAAGTTACCAGATTTTAGTTAAACAGAATGTTCATTTATTTGCTACATCCTAGAGTATTACAGAGTATTTTTTAAACAAAGAAATGTATGCACCATCTTTTATATTTGTACTTTTTTATCTCAGAACCCAAAATGTAAGCTTGCTAGAAAATTTAATTAAATTCTGATTCTAAATTGCCACTGAACCAAATGGCAAATATATGTCACTATTTGCATTGCTCTATCTATAGCAGATATCAATTGACCATTTTGCTGTTTCCAACTAAATAGTTTTGCCCTCCCCATGCCCCCAAATCCTTTCCTAAATAGTGTGATGTGAAAATCACTTAAGTACAGGTGGTCCTGAAGCACTTCTACTGCTTGTGTCTAAAACTTTATACCCAAAATGTCACTTCCAAACCATCACTCTGGGAGTTTATTTGGAAAACAGAATCAGCCCCATTGTAGATCTGCTGAATCTGAACCTGTATTTTAACAAGATTCTCAGTGATTCTATACAGATTAAGGTTTGAGAAGCTCTGGATGTGCATGGAATACATGGTACATTCATTAGGATAGTTCTCAAATGTTACTATATCAAAAATCATTGAACTAAAGGTTTATTTAAACAAAGATTGCTGCCTTCACTCCTCCCCTAGCTCCACCTCTAGGGAGCTTCTTATGCAGTAGGTAAGGTGAAGGATTCCTTTGAATTCAGGGCCTTGCACTTGCTAGCCAAGTCCTCAACCACCACAACATGGCCCTTTTTAATTTTTTTTTAGGTACAGCTAGACTGAGACCACAGTTCTCTGACAGCCAGCCCCTCAGAAATTGGGATTACAAGGGTGCACCTCATGCCCAGACCTGGGATGGGGATTCTGAAGCAAGTTTCCAGGTGATGTGGTTGCTGTTGCTCTGGGGAGCCTACCTAGGGAATTATTGCATCAGAGCCATGGGAGTACTTGGGAATAGCTCCATGGTCTTTAGAAGTGAAAGACAATGGTATCTTTGCATGTTTCTACAATTCTTCACCATCTGTGAGAATCAGAATTCAGAGTTTAAGTGCTGTTAACATCATTCTCTCATTCGTAAGTCCGAGTAGCTGTTCTAACCACAGCATTACAGTTGATACTGAGGAAATCTATGGAAATTAAATTGTAGTTCCTAATTTCATGAAACATTAACAATAAGGCAAAACAATTGTATAAGAGGTATTGTCAGAGGGCCAAGTGTTAAGTGCCATGGACTACTCAGAAGGCAATAACTACAACAGGCTTGCATGTGCTTGAGCCTATGTAGAATAGAAAGCATGGAACACAAAGTGATTGTATCCAAATTGAATGGAAGATAAGGAGGGTAGGGGAGCTGGCAAAACTAAGAAGGCATCTTCTTATTTCTTAATGCTAAGGTGGTTGCTTTCAAAGTCTAGTATCTTGAACAGGAAGCTGCTGTAACAAAAATGCTACACATTGGGTGACCAAAACAACAAATGTTTATTTTTCATTGGCCCAGAGGCTAGAGCTGGCTGACAACACTATTCAATTCCTCTTGCTTTCTGGTTACATCCACCCAGGCAGAAGAATATTATATTTATCTTCCCTCTTCCATGATGGACATTGATTGCATCCAGGAACTTATACTCCCCAAAGGCTCCAACTCCTAGTACTGTCACAACAAAAATTAAGGTTTTACAGTATACATTTTTGGGAGACCCACACATCCGGCCTACACTGTCTGTATAGTTATAAACGAATGCTATCAGCATTGTAGATCAGGGCATTAGGCATAAAATGGCAACTTGCACCCCAGAAACAGAAAGTGGGAAAATGGCTTCTAGAGATTATGAGTGGGAGGAGTAGTTACAATTTAAAAATAGGAATTACAAAGCCAGGTGTCAGTGGCTCATGCCTGTAATCCTGGTTACTCAGGAGGCTGAGATCTGAGGATCCCAATTGGAAACCAATCTAATCAGAAAAGTTTGTGAGAGGGGTTTTATCTGTGGCTAACCAGCAAAAAGCCAGAAGTAGAGCTATTGCTCAAGTGGTAGAGCACCAGCTTGCATGAAAAAGCTAAGGAGACAATGACCAGTATATGAGTTGAAGCCCCAGTACTGGCGCACCAAAAAAAAAAAAAAATCCCAGACATACAACTTTCTTGGGTTTGTGCTAAATGACAGCTGTGCACTCTGATTTGGTCCAGATAACAGTCCAGTAAGTAAATCTAGTTTAGTCAAATCACCATTTTCCTACATGTGAAAATCGAACATTCAAGGATGTAAATAAATTCAAATCCAGATTGTTGTTCCGAGTGGGGGAATCGTCATTCAGGAGTCATGAGGCCTCTGGCCTGCCTGGATCATTCGATGCCTTCCATGTTGTATGACTTGGGAGTAAGCAAGGAACCCATCGAGTCACTAAGAGGAGTCTCTAGGGAATTAAAACCAAGGAACCTGGCGGGAGGGGGGGGGCGGTGGTTGCGGGGCTAATAGGTCAAGGTGCTCACAGAGAGGAGTACCTGCATACAACACGGCAAGGTCTGGCTTTCCCTGCCGGGGTCACACAGCCTCTCAGGCCAATCTAATTACAAGTCCTTGGTAGGTTGCAAGAAGGGGCTCTCGAGGGGCAGCGGGAGGGGGCGGGTAGGCAGGTTTCTCTGACCCACGTATCAGCCTTTGAAACCTGGCATCTGTCGGGAGAGCCTGGATGAGCAGGCAGAAAAGAGGAGACATGGCTAGCGTGTCCTTCGCGCACGGGAGAAGAACCGGCGTGGCCGCGCCGGAATGGGGGACAGCGAGGTTTGCAGGCAGGCGTGCCTCGGGAAGACTCAGACCGTTGAGGTGACCAGTGCAATTGGAAAACGGAAACTAACTTCCTCTGACCCTTACCGGCGGAGCTCCAGAGCTCCGTGGCGGGCGTTTGCGTTCGAAAGGGCATTTTTCAAAAGAAAGCGGCAGGGAGGTGGGGGTGTCCGCCCCGCCGGGAGGTGCGCGGCGGGAAGCCGTGCCGCAGCCGGGCCACCAAGCCTGCTTTGTACTGGAGGCCAAGCGCGGCCCCCGGAGTTTAGGCTGCGGCCGGGAGTTGAGACCACGCCCCCTTTGCAGTGAGAGTCGCGTCCGCTGATTGGTGAGCCGCAGGCGGGTGGGCGTGTCGGGACCCGCCCGCGGCTGTCAGCGCGCGCCCCAGCCGCGCCAGCCGCAGCCCGGCCTTCCCTCCGCAGAGCCCCGCAGTCAGCGCTGTCTTCCCGGGGAGCCGGGCGGCCGCTCGCAAGCGCAGCCCTGCCCAGCCCGCCAGCCGTGCGTCCAGGGCGGGGTGTCTCGTGGGGCCCCCCACGGCCACCGCCTGCGCTGCGCTCTGGCGCACGGAGCATGTGCAGAGCCACGGGCGCTTAAGGTGCTATCGGTCTGTGGGGCTTGTGGGCTGCGGTGACCGACTGTCACGCCGGGGAGAGACCTCTCGGGGGGCTCTGGCTGCGCCTCGACTGCGTCGCGGGTGACACTGCGGTGACCGCGAGCCGGAGCGGCAGCCGCCTCTCAGTGGAGACGTCTGGGGGGGGTCCGTGAGCCCTCCCTCTCTCTCCTGCCTTCCCTATCCCGCCGGAGCGAGACGCGTGCGTCCCGGTCCCCGGCGTCCCCGGCGTCCCCGCCGCCCCCCGCCGCCGTCCTTCCCACAGGGGGCTTCCTCACTTCGGATGCCATGACAAGTTAATATGGGCGTCCAGGCCGCGGCTTCTCTGGAGGAAGATTACCACCGGCGGCAATCCCGGAGCGCCCCGAGCTCCTGAAGCCCCGCCGCTCCGGAGCGGCTTCCCCGCCCGCTGCGGCCGGCAGCCCGCGAGCCGGTGGGACCGGCCGGACGCCGTGAGCGGCACCCCGCAGGCAAGCTTGCCGGAGCCCCTACACCTCCCCGTGCCCCCCCTCCAGACCCGGGGGTTCTTTTATTTGTATTTTGTTTTGTTTTCCTCCGCCGGTGGTGGGCGCCTCGCGGGCCGAGGCCCGGCGCCTGCTCTGCCGCCCGCGCTGCCTTTAGCGGTCGCCTCCGCCGCCGCCGCCGCCGCTGCCAGGGACGTGCTGGGAAAACCCAAGCCCCGGGAGAAGATGCCGGCCATCCTGGTAGCCTCCAAAATGAAGTCGGGACTGCCCAAACCCGTGCACAGTGCCGCACCCATCCTCCACGTGCCCCCGGCTCGGACCGGCCCCCAGCCCTGCTACCTGAAGTTGGGAAGCAAGGTGGAGGTGAGCAAGACCGCCTACCCCAGCCAGATCCCGCTGAAATCGCAGGCGCTGCAGGAGCCGGCGGGGGAAGGGCTCCCGCTGCGGAAGAGCGGCTCGGTGGAAAACGGGTTCGATACCCAGGTGAGAGGTGTTTTGTGCTAGGGGGTGGGGGTGGGGGGCACCGTTTGGAAGGAATGGGTTAATACTTTACGTGGGAGGGGGTAATACTTCATTGGGAGGGGTGGGGGGAAAGGGCTGCAGGGCGGGTGAGGAAGGGAACCACCTCCCTTAGGGTGGTATACTGGGTGGGTGGGGGGGTGCTCAAGGAGAGAGGGCTGGCCAGTGGGTGTGGCCCGGGTGCCAGAGGTTCACCTAAGGAGCTGGGCGAGGAGATGAGCAGTGCTGGCACGCCTACCCATCTTTGGGAAGGATGGGAATGGGGGATTGCCAAGATCTTCCCCCAAAGCGTATATGGTACTGGAAATGTCTTGACCCCAAGAAGGGACTATATGGTATTTGCAACTGTCTGTGCGTTCCGAAGAGGTTCTATCCCTGTAGTTGAATGGTTTGAAGCTTCATTTGGTTTGCCAGCTCTCTGGTCTGGTTGTAAGATCCAGGGCGTGGGGTTGGCAGTGAACCTGCTCTCCTCTTGGCTTGAAGATGGCCTGTTCCGGCTCCATCCTTAGGAAGCAGGGATTCTGGCAAGGTGCTGGCACTGCAGGCTGCTGGAGACTCCTAAGGTCTTGGCTGACTGTTGCTGTGGGGGTGGGTGGAGGGGGGCGGCTGTCTCAGAATGGCGGCTTGGAGCTAAGCCCCTCCTTTCTGGGTGGTAGATCCTGGTGTTGGTACCTCAGGTGACTTGGGAAGTGGGAGAATGACTGGAAGAGAAATGGTAACTTCTACCTTTCCAGATAGAGGCTGCATCACCCGATTGGGCTGGGTAACAGGCTTTGGCTATGCAATCTCTTTTAAGGAAATCCTTAAGGGCCAATCAGGTTTTCTTGGCCTCCTGCCCTCCCTGCTGCATTTCTCCCCCTCTTCTGGTAGAAGGGAGAAGGGGCACGGTTGTGTTTTATTGGCAGCCAGTCAGTAGGGACTTTTGGGGACAGACTGACCCAACGGATGTGACTGTCCTGGTCAGGAGGGAAGGGAAGTCAGAAGGGGAGGTGGTTTGGGGCTGGTATGGGGGAAGTGGCAACACACCAGCTGACCTTTTTGGCAGGCACTTCTCTGCTGACATGGTTTCTACCTTCTCCTGGAGCTTTGTTCAATCAGAGGCTAGCGCTCAACACATTCCTAGCCTTTCTGATGGAGGCACTGGAGCTGGAAGCTAATTGTAAGCAGACTTTTGGAACACTGGGTTAGAGAAGGCCCTCAAAGCAGATTAAGCTCCCACACCAGGCTGATAAGCATGCCCCTTGCTGCACTTGCTAAACATTTTTGGAAGCTGACAGCTTAGAGTGATGGTGTGTGGGAGGAAGGCAAGATTTTCTTTCAGTGCTCCGGGTCCTGTCTCTGCCAGGATAGTGTGTGCTGCTCTTTTACTGTTATTAGCCACAGGATTTGTTCCGGGGACTGTGACATGGGGATGAGCTACAGGATGCCTCCTGAAAGGGTTTCCCCTTCATCCATAGAGGTGGAGGCTTAAATGGTATAGTAGAGGCCAGGACAGTGAATCTGAGTATGATGCACACCCTCCAGCATGATGAGGAATGGAGGAATGAGAGGAAGGTGACACTGGTATTGTTCAGAGCAGCTGCTCTGTTTTAGCCCATTTGACCCTTCATTTAACAAATATTCTTAAATGGAGTGGGCAGGCTTGGGAAAGGTGATTCATCACCCTCTCCTCTGAATAAAAAAAAAATAAATCTCCAGCTTCTTTCTTAGGGGCTGACCTGGCCTAGCCTTGGTCCCTGGACACCTTGCTTCCCTTCATTAATGGTCCACAATCCCCAGCATCCCTCTCTTCACTTACCTTGTCTTCAGTGGGCTTCCATGCACTGACCAAGAGGAGAATTTGGACAGACTGCGAGGGAAATGAGCCCCTTTCCAGTGGATTTTTCCTAGTTTACCTGTGTGCCATCCCATTTTTAATGCCCAGGTTCCAGAGGGGCTCTACTCATGGCAATGGCAGATCTTGGTGTTCACAACCCCACCCTGACATCTAACTGACTTTGGCAAAAAAAATTTGCCATCTTTGGACAAGGTATCCCCACATGATATTCCAGAAAAAATCCTCAATTCTGGTTTGAGGATTATGTCTGACTTGCCACCTGGTAATTCCCCAGTCTGAAACCTAATGTTTACCAGTAGAAAACACTCAGGAAATGATTAATTCAGTGGCAAATGATACATTTGGGACCTCTTTTCTCACTTTTATTAAGGGGATTTTTGGCAAGAGGCTGGGTCACACATTGGCCAAAGCTTAAGATTTAAAGTCATGTGGATGATGGTGGTATTCTGAGTGTCATACTAGCAGGGTAAACTTATCCATTAACTTCTCTGGGCCTCAATGTTCCATCCGTAAAAATGAATATGAACAGCCCAAGAATGACTTGTTTGCTGCAGTATGTAGTGGATAAAGAGAGCAAAAATAATGACTATTGATATTGGTAACCCAATGGATAGAACATATTGAACTTAGATTAGTCTCAAGCCCTGAAGGAAAGTATCGATATGTTCATAAGGATTTACAGAGCCTCTATCAGAAGCCTCATTGTACAATACCAGTCTCATAGGAAGGGGAAGGCAGGGCATGTCTGCTGTTGAGTGCCTGAGGTACCAGGCTCTTTATGCATGATATAATTCATCTTCCCAGGAACACTTTTAGAGCAGACAACACAGATCTATTTTCTATGACAATAACAAAATAATAACAGAAACAATAATGGAAATTCCTTACATATTAGTTGGTCTGTGCCAGGAACTGTCCTACTTACTTTCCACAAAATAACTCATTTATAATAATCCAGTGAGCTAAGTGTAGTTTTTCTCCTTTTACAATTGAGGACATTGAGGCCAAAATGAGGTTAGTAACCTTGTGAGTGGCAGAGGTAGAATTAGTAGAATTAAATCCTGGACAATCTGGTTCTAGTCTCTGTCTTATCTATGGTACTATACAGAGAGTCACAGACATCCCTGATCACCAGTGAGCTCTGATTTGTATGATCACAGATGACTATAACCACTGAGCTTCAGTAAAGCCCAGCAAAGAAGGGTCACTTGTTCAGGATCATAGAGAATGGCTCAGCAGAGAATCTAGCTCAAGGAAGGCCTATAATCTGCCTTGGTGCTCTGGCACATCTACAGAACATGTAAGGTACAGCCTGGCTGTCTATGACACCATAGACTTGCTGAGAGGTATAATTTATGTGCCCAACAAGGAGCAACAAAGGGGAGGCAAGTAGCTGTTAGGTGTAGCCTCTCTGTCAACCCTTCAATTTCTTACCTGGAGTCTCTTCTATAAACCTACAACTGGTTTTTAGCCTCCAGATGAGAAAACTGCTCTGCAGTAGTACATCTTTCCAGATCCCCTTCCTGGTACCAAGATACCTGAGTCTCCTGTGTATGTTCCCCTATGTATGAATTATGACCCTGTGCAAAGAATTGTTCTAAATGCTCACTCTCTCTGTTAGTTCTGAATCCTTCTCTAGCCAACCTGCAGATAAAGAACACTCCGAGATATTTGAGAAGAGGTTAGCCTATTTTTAAGACGCAGTCACAGGGGGAAAATATGATTCTTATAATACTTTGATATTTCCTGCTTTTAGGAGTTAGTGATCAGCTTTCAACTTGTTTCTTTGTAATAGTAATTAGAAGTGATTGAAATCTTCTGTGTTTTAGATGTTTAAAAAGAAATGCATGGGTGAGGCTCCTGGGAAGAGAGTGCAGATCCAAGCTTACAACCTGTTGCAACTTTGCCTTTGCCCCATTGTGTTTTGATTAGAATCCTTTCTTCATCATCAAAGTTGATTATGGATTTGATTAGTGCATTTTTCTGCTATTGTGTTATTCCCTTCTCTTTCTCAGTTCTTGAAGGGAAACATATAATGTGATTATCTGCCAATGTGCAAGAATGTTTATAATTCCCATATTGCTTATCCCAGTGGTTAATTTTCCAAAGCCACTTTAAGGGTGGTACTGGTGGCTTATTTAGAGATTCATTATGTGTGTATATATCTGTGTATAAATATATCCACTTCTGGTTATATGTGTATGTATACACATATATACACACATACACAAATACATACACATGGAACAGCTTAAAGTACTTAACACATGTAAGCACACACATCAAAGAGGAGGAGTTATAGCTTAAATTCTAGCTTTCTGAATAATTAGGTTTGCTTCCTGCTTTTCACACTCTCTTCCTCTATAACCAAGATTTAAAACACCAAAGCTCTCTGTCCATTTTATTTACTCACAAGCTTGAGAGATGTGTTTTAATTAGGTCTCAGTGGCCAGTGTGGGAAAGCCAAACCACACAGGGAGATTTTGGCTTCAAGTCAGAAATTCTTATTTCTTAGATTCAGCCTCAATAGTGGGGAAGGGAACATTTGTGAAACATCTGCTATGTGCCAGGTTTGTCTGCAGTGCTCTTTATACATTTATTATTTAATTTCATACACCAGGCACTGAGTACAATGTGAAATGGTCAACACATTTATGTGAGGAAGCTGAAGTCAAGGGAAATTATCACTCAGGGACAGTTATATATGCTAACATAGGTTTCGAGAGGCTGGTTTGGATTCAAATCCAGGCTGTGGGCAAATTACTTAATATCTCTAAACCTTATCTTGCTCATCTGTTAAGCAGAAGTGTAACGTTTATAGTTTGGCTATGAGGATCTAGTGAAATATTACAGGTTGCTGGCACAAGAAATATGCAATATATGGTATGTGACATGGTCTCTTTTTATAAACCCAGGCAGATCCTAGGTTTATGTCTGCCTCACCCCCAAGCCCATCTTCTATCCAGATTACCTATCTACTTCCCAAGGGCATGGCTGGCTGCATGGAAGGATAGATGATGGCTTGTGCCATGAAAACAGAACATTGGTTCAATGAATAGGTAGCAAAATTAAATGAAGAACAATGCCACGGAAAGAACTCATATCCAAAGTGATTCATTGAACTTTC